CACAAATCTTTTTAAAGTGAAAGTAACAGCCTTCAGTGGGAATGTGATGGCTTCTACCTGGGTAGGGAACCCAGGGTTAACGGCCTCTTCAGGTGTGAATTGGCTTTCACAAGTGTCAGAGACATCATCATAAGAGTTAGGCTTTCTGCTGTTTCCCTCCCCATCAAAATTCATGGGTAGAACAATTTTTTTTTAAACTTCATTTATTTTGTTGTTGTTGAGAATATACACAGCAAAACATACACCAATTCAACATTTCTACAGGTATCATTTAGTGACATTGATTACATCCTTCAAGTTGTGCAACCATTCTCACCCTCCTTTTCTGAGTTGTTCTTCCCTCATTAATGTAAGCTCACTGCCCCCTAAGGTTCTTATCTAATCTTTCAAGTTGCTGTTATCAATTTGACCCCATATAGATAGTTCTTAAAAAGAGCATAATGTTCAAGGCAGACATTTTTTACTAGTTAAGCTAAACTATTTTTGGTTTTAACAAGACTTCAGGGGATATTTTTGGTTTAAGGTTTACAGATTATCTCAAGGCAGTAATTTCAGGGGTTCATCCAGTCCCCATGGAGTCTGGAGTCTATGAGAATTTGAAATTCTTTTCTGCATTTTCCCCATTTTGATCAGAATTCTCCTGTAGAATCTTTGATCAAAATGTGCAGTAATGGTAGCTGGACACCATCCAGTTCTTCTGGTCTCATGGCAAAAGAGGCAGTTGTTCACAGAGGCAATTAGCCACACATTCCATACCCTCCTCCTATTCCTGACTCTCCTTTCTCTGTTGCTCCAGGTGAATAGATACCAATTGTTGTGCCTTGGATGGCTGCTTGCAAGCTTTTAACACCTCTGGCCCTACTCAACAAACTAGGAGGTTGAACAAAGCACTAAACATGTTATTAGGCCAGTTAACTGGGATGTTCTCTGAAACCATGACCCTAAACCTCCAAACCAAGAAACCTAATCTCATGAGTAGCCTCAGCAGCTCTTCTTTTTCTTTTTTAGGCATCATAAATGTATCTATCATACAACTTTTGCCAATTCCACTTCACCCTCTATGGGGAGAGCAATTTAAAAATGTCATCGGGTTATCAAAGGCAGTTCATATCCTGTACTCTTACGTTTGCCCTGCCTTTGGGTGTGGTAGATGTTGGGTTCCACCACAATTACACTTTATCTGAGTTACTTTTATTTCTTCTGCCAATGTGGAACTTTGTTATGTCCAAAGATTATTTAAACATAGGAATTACATATTAACAATGGCAAAATTGCAGAAAGAGTTGTGGTTCAGTGTTTTACAAGACAAAACTGGGCAAGACTTTTCCCTCAGTCTTCCTGCCTGTTTTGAATAGTCATCGGAAATGACCTCTGTTAAGATACAACTATTGGTCTCTATTCGACCAGAACAAAAGGGATAGAAGGAAACTCAAGTCTCAGAGAAGAAACTAATGTACAGGACTAATAGTCTACAAGAACCACAGCCTCATTTACCCTGAGATGAAAAGAACTAGATGGTGCCTGGCTACCAGTACCAGCTGTTCTGATCAGAGCCACAATAGATGGCTCCTGATAGAATGGGAGAACAATGTGGATCATAACCTGAAATTCCTAAAAAGAATTAAAAACCAGACTTATTGGATCGATTGATACTGGAGGACTCACCAAGATTGTTGCCCTTAGATACTCTTTAAACCTTGAGCTGAAATTATCCCGACATCATCTTTTAGCTATATAACAGATTGGCTCAAAAAATAATCTCACCCATGAGTACTGTGCTCCTTTAAAAAAATCATCTATATGAGACCAAAAGGTCAACCATTACTTAAAAAATAAATAAATAAGATGAGAAGGTTAGGGGACAGGGGAACTAGATTACTGGAAACAGAACCTCCAGAATGGAGATAATGAGAATGTTCACTCATGTGAAGAATATAAGAAATGTCACTCAACAGTTCGTGTAGAAATTGTTTAATGGGAACCTAATCTCCTGAAAACACTATAAAATATTGTTTTGAAGAAAAGAAGTTCCCTCTGTTCCCTCAAGGTTCCTGGTCAGTCAATTAATGCCTAACAACTGAGTTTTTAATTGGTACCAGAAATACAAGAAGAGGCAAAATCAAGGGTGTCACAGGGATCCCCACCTTCCACACAGGCCCAGTGAACATTTAAAAGCCTGTTTAAACTGACACACTTCTGGAATGTTTGAAAATCTTTCTGTTCAGTAGATAGTGGTAGAATTGTCCGCTGAATGCCAGCTGAGGACCCTGAGGTTGCGGCAGCAGCCAGGAAGATGGGCAGATCCCTACAAGGCTCCCAGTTTCCACAGAGCTAATTGTCTTTTGGTGGGAGTGTGTCTCCCTGACGTCTGTGCATCCGCTATCCTTGACGAGCTTAGCAGTCCCCTCCAGGACACCGCCCTGACCCCCTTTCTTGCCTTTCACTCTGCAGGGGAACTGTTCTCTGTGGAGACTTAGGGCAACTCAATGAAGGCAGAGATGGGGCTCTGAGACATAGTCATTTCTCATCCCAGGACCCTCAAAATGTCTCGTGTAGAATTGACAGTTCAGTAAATGTTGAAAAACAAAATGGTTTTGTTTCTTTTTTTCCTATTTTAGCAAGATTGCTTTTCATAACAGATTGAATATGTGCCGGTTATTTGGATAGTCTTAAGAGCAAATTCATTGGATATCCTAACCCAAAGGTGTTGTGTGTTTAATGCCTCTTTGCATATTGATTCTTCATCTGAGTGTGTGCATGAGGACCATGGTTACAGCTCGACTTATCAAGTGCTTGTGTTCCTTGTTCTCCCAGGCTTTGAACCTGGCCTACTCCAGCATTTATGGCAGCTACAGGAACTTTGTGGGTCCTCCACACTTTAAAGTCATCTGTCGGCTGCTCGGCTACCAGGGCATCGCCGTGGTCATGGAGGAGCTGCTGAAGGTGGTCAAGAGCCTGGTACGTTTCCCGCAGTGCACTGCGCTTCCTTCACACATGCCTTGAGTTCATCAGGGTAGAATAATTTGGGGAAAATGGTGTGTGTGTCTCAGCCATGAGGAGGCATCCTGGTGTTTGTAGGGGCTGCAGCACTGGCTGGCGATGCGGCCGGTAGACGCCGTGCACACTGGTGTTGCAGGCGTGTGGTGGTGCTGCTGCCTGGTTAGTTTGTGCGTGTGAGATTCGTGGTGGGTGGCCAATCCCTGGGGCTGAGTGGTGCACATTTCAGACCAAGGTCCGAGGGGAGAGCACAGGCCCAGTCTGTGTGGAGCTTTGCTCGTCAGGACCTTTTGGAAAGGTGGTGGCACTGAGGGTTACCTATGATGGATCTTCTTTTCTGTATATAATTTATTTCTGCTGTTAACTAAGAGACACATTTTTTTCAAAATCTTAACTTTTTTTTAAAATTCATCTTTTTGTGAGTGAGCCCATCTATTTTAAAAATTCTTCATTGCCAAATACAGATTTTCACATCTTTCTCATGATTCATATACTGCCAAGGGAAAGCTTGTGTGGCAATGTGAAGTGGGCCGAGATTGAATTAAAGTGAACTTACGCAAAGCAAAGGCCACAGAATTCTAAGAAGTTGACAATTTACAATCATATATGTCAAGATAAAAAATTATTTAGAACATAGATGGATTTGATCTCTGGGCACAGCCATGACCCCATGACCCTTCCAGGTCCTGCCAGGCCCCAGCATTCCTGGTAACATGAGAGGAGCTAGGATGACTGGCCTCGCCTTGGCTAAGCACAAAGATGCCCTGGCCCATCTTTGCAGAGGTCCTCAGTCCATCAGAGGAGGCAGAGCCTCCTGGGAAAACTGCCTTCCTCCAGAGCTCTTGTGACTGCCCAATGCAGGCCGCTGGGTCCCGCACGTCCACCATTCCTAACTGCTCGCCCATCCCCAGGATTGGGGTTTCTCAACTGCATGGACCGCAACCAGAAAGCACCCACCCACTGTCCCATGCCTCAGTGGACAAGTGTTGGCTGAGAGGTGCTGGGGCCGGCCATGGTAGCAAGTGTGATGCACACAGACACATGCGCATGTAGTGACCTGTGGTGCTGTTGTCCTCCCAATCAGACCTCTTGGTGTGCATGCCCCCTGGGTGCTGCCCATGAGGGCACCTAACTGAGCAAAGCCCCCATCGCCACCCTTCCCCCTACCCTTACCTACCCCCCCATTCCAGCCCCTACCTGCCAGGTCTGTTGGCCACTCTGTTCTCTCCTTAGAGCTGCACGTGCCTGTTAGGTGGCAGAAATTGCAGTGCAGCTGCCTGTGAGATGTGTAGACACTCCAAGCCCTCCCTGCCTGCTGGCACCCGTCAGAGCCTGTGCTCTGAAAAGGGCATGGGTTTGGAACGTGCATTCAACTAGTGTGTGGAGACACCTGTGGAGGTGCTTCCTTTCCCACTAGCGGGGTTTAACTTCCCGCCAGAGTGATCTGCAGTCCCTCACTTCGCTGAAGGCAGTGTGCACCAGCCGCTGCCTCCCCGGAGAGGTGGGGCATGGCTGATGCAGCCCTGTCTTCCCCAGCTGCAAGGCACCATCCTGCAGTACGTTAGGACCTTGATGGAGGTGATGCCCAAGATCTGCCGCCTGCCCCGGCACGAGTACGGCTCTCCTGGTAAGACGGTGTGTGCGGGTGGCGGGCAGGTGCTGGCTGGGCCAGCTGCTGCCTGGGGGCGGGAGGCAGAAGACATGTGCCTTTGGAAAGGAGGCAAAGCTGACCCTCTTGGACAAAGTGAGAGAGTCAAGTCAGAAGTTACTGGTGACGATTAGATTTGCTCTCCCCAGTGGGAGGGGTAGGTGTGTTGGAGGCCTGTCTTAGAGGAACTGAGGGGCCAGTGCGAGGTGATCGGGTGCCCAGTGGTCCCTGAGGGGTTGACAGGGCCTCCCTGGACTCCCCCAGAAAGTTTCCAGCTGGAGGGGAGCAGGGAGCTGGACTGTGGTTTCAACCAGTGGTGCTGGGGCTTACAGGGCTACAATTCAAGACAGTCCATGGGGTGGTGGTGGCCATCTCTCCTTTCTCCCTGTTTCCCCAACTTCCTCATCTTCCCCCTCCCTCTCCCCATCCTTTTCTTCCCAGTCCTCCTCCCCCACCCTTTTCCCTTGCCCCGCCCCCTTCCTCTTCTCTTCTCTCCCTCCTACCCGCCCCCCTTCATTCTCCTCTCCTCCTGCTCCAGCTTTGGAACCAGCTTGTCTGCTTCCACCCCTCAAGAAAAACCTCCCTGTGGTTGTTGACTGTGTTGGCATGAACTCCAGGGACGGACTTGGGGAATACTGGCTCTCTCCTGTGTTTATGCCTTGTGTTTTCTCGTGCCTGCTACATTGCACGGGCGTCATGACAGTGGTGCAGACATGCTGGCTTGCTCTGGACCTGGGGGGAAAGTGGGCAGACGCCACCAGGATGTCGGCTGCAGGGTTTTTATAGATGCCTTTTATCAGATTACGTTGCTCCCTTCTATGCCTGTGAGTGGATATTGTATTTTATCAAATAACCTTTCTGCCTCTGCTAGATGACCAAGTGGGCTTTCTCCCTTATGCTTGTGCTGTGGTGACAGCACTGTCACAGAGGCCTCCTCGGAAGGACCAGGCTGACCGAGAGGCTCCATTGCTCCCCCGCAGGCCACGTGGGCCTGCAGAGGGCCTGTCCAGGTGGCTGTCTTTGTAGCAGTGCACAGTGGCAGTGCAGAGGGCGTCGTGTGGGCTCAGTCCCTCCTGCTCAGGGCTCTGCTTCCTCCAGCCTCCTCGACCTCACCACTCGCTTTCTGCCCACAGGCATCCTTGAGTTCTTCCATCACCAGCTTAAGGACATTGTGGAGTACGCCGAGCTGAAGACGGTGTGCTTCCAGAACCTGCGGGAGGTGGGCAATGCTGTCCTCTTCTGCCTGCTCATTGAGCAGAGCCTGGTGAGCCATGGCCACGGGGACCAGAGGCTTGATTGTGTGGGGTTATTTAGTGGGTGGTGGGGGCAGTGCACTAAAGCACCATTGTTTTTAGACTTTAATTTGAATTTGTTCCCTGCAATTGAAAAAAAAGAAGTAATATAGTTCATTGTTTCCAGAATATTTTTCTATTTAAGCTACATAAAAATGTTTCGCTATGTAATACTTGTTCCATTTAAGCTAGCTCAGGTGACAGACACGTCAGGTGTAGCATTTTGCTGCCCAGGAGAGCTGTCTGCAGTGATGGAAACGTTCCGTGTGTGTGTTGAGCACTTTAAAGTGTGACTTAGTGTGACTGAGGGACTGAGTTTTAAATCTGATTAAATTTTATTGACTTTACATGTAACTATGTATGTGTACCTTGTGGATAACACAGGGGACTGCACACTAAGGGGAGCACCTGGAAACCCACCCCAACTTACGACTCTCACAGGGAGGTCCCTTGCTTTCACAAGCTGACTAGGTGCCTCCACCTGCTGTCATTTGGCCTGTTGGTCTGTCCCCAATGTTTCATTTCAACCCAAAGTTTTTGAGTTTTTTTGAATTGGTGTGCCTAGTGAGTATGAAATGTCATCTCACACGGCCCCCCTGCTTCCCTCTTTCCTAATGAGGTGGACATCTTCCTTTGTTGATTGGCTCTTCCTGGGTCCTTTTCTGCCAAATGCCCACTTGTGTCTTTTGCCCATTTTTCATAGCTTGTTTATAGAAGTTCTTTGTATATTCTAGAAGCTAACCCTTTAATGTGTTATGTATATTGCAGATACTTCTCCTTGTTGTGGCTTAACTTTTCATTCTCATAATGGTGATTTTTTGATGAACAGATGTTCTTAAGTTTAATTCCATTTTTTTTTATAATGGCTAGCACTTTTTGTATCTTTTTGAAGAGATCTTCCCTACGTAGGAATTCATAAAGGTATTCTTTTATATTTTCTTCTAAAGGTTTTTAAGTTTTGCTTTTCACATTTAAGTTTATGATCCTTCTAGAATTGATTGGTGTGTGCAGTTTGAGATGTAGGCCAGGCTCCTTTCTCCTTAGGGGATAATCAGCTGAGCCTCCTCCTCCTGCTGGAGAGCTCCTCCTTTGCCTGCTGTCTGCAGGAGTCCCCACAACACGCTGCTCTGTCTCTGGGTTTTCTGCTGTGTCCCACTGGTCACTGTCGTGGGGTCTAGAGTGCGCTATCATCTTCGTCACAGCTCTCACGTTGGTCTGATAGCTGACAGGGCACACCCCACCTCAGTCTTCTTAAGAGTATGTTGGCTCTTTGTGGACCTTTGTTCTTCCATGTAAGTTTTAAAATCGACTTGCCAAATTTATTCAAAAAGCATATTGGACTTTTAAGAATTACGTTGTCTCTCTAGACCTATCTGGGAAGGTCTTTGTGGGGCTGATTCTCGCAGCGGTCTCTTGGTCTCAGTGTCTTGCCCAGTGGCTTTGCAGAGGCCAGGTTGGGTTTTGGAAGGACAGGGGCCAGGGTGCCTTGTCATCTGCTCAGGATGTGGGCATCAGGCTGGCAGTGTCCTCAAGGCTAAGCCGCTGGGCTGGCATCACACACCAGCCCTCCTGGGTGAGGGGAGTCCAGGGTCAGACATGGACACATCCAGGAGTGGACAGCCTCTTGTCAGGGCCTGCATCTTCCCACTCTGTTTCCTGTACCCCTAGGCAGGCCATTTCCATGTGGTGGCAAGAGGGAGTCCAGCAGCACTGGGCCTTCCTTGTCCCCACCACTCACGGACTCAGAGCATGGACACAGGTCTCCCCCAGCATCCATGTTCCACCCTAAAGAAGCCTGAGTGACCAGCCTCTCACATGCACCTCCTCGTCGCCGCCCCCACCGTAACAGGGGTGATGGGCACAGGATGAGAGCCTACCAGTCCCAGGGGTGCAGCAGAGCAGCTCCCAAAGGAGCAGGCAGGCACTGATCCCAGCGAGCAGCAGATGTCCAGGGAAGCCACATTTTAAGAAGATGTTAGGGCAACCTGAGTTTTTTAACTTAAATCAATGTGAATTTTTAAAGAACCAGATAAGCTAGGAAGAATTCCTTTAAATAGTAATCTCTCAATGAATTTTAAATATTTTAGAAAATGCCCTTCCCATCTAAGATACTCCACTGGTGTCACCCGTTTGGGAGCAAGGGAGAATGAAGAAAACTAAAGACACAAGGGAAAGATTAGTTTAAAGGAATAGTGGACCACAGCTACCACGGCCTCCACCAGACTGAGTCCAGTACAGCTAGATGGTGCCCCGCTACCACCACTGACTGCTCTGACTGGGATCACAACACAGGGTCCTGGACAGAGCTGGAGAAAAATGTACAACAAAATTCTAACTCACACAAAAAAAGGAACAGACTTAACTGGCCTGACAGAGACTGGAGAAACCCCGAGAGTATGGCCCCCTGGACACCCTTTTAGCTCAGTAATGAAGTCACTTCTGATGTTCACCCTTCAGCCAGAGATTAGACAGGCCCATAAAACAAAACGAGACTAAAGGAGCACACCAGCCCAGGGGCAGGGACTAGAAGGCAGGAAGGGACAGGAAAGCTGGTAACGGGGAACCAAAGGTCAAGAAGGGAGAGTGTTGACATGTCGTAGGGTTGTTAACCAATGTCATAAAACAATATGTGTACTAACTGTTTAATGAGAAGCTAGTTTGTTCTGTAAACCTTCATCTAAAGTACAATTAAAAAAAAGAAAGAAAATGTCCTTCATGTGCAGCTTTCCAGAGCACACAGCATAGAGTGAGAAAAGCTCTCTTCTGCCTGTATCCATCCTCATGATGCCTCCCTAGCATTCACTCCCTGACAGCTCCATGCTGGTCAGGGCAGGCAGTGCACGTTTCCTGCGGGGTGCTGCCTGAGGAGACTGGCCGAGGGGACCTGCCTGAGCTAATGGCAGGGAACAGAGCTTTTCTTCAACTCCAAAATAGAAACTGTCCCAGAGGCTTGTGTGGATGTGAAATAATGCCTGAGCACGTTAACTGTTGGTACCACTCACGGACTCCATTAGAAACTCAGGACAAGAGAAGTCTTGACTAGCATGACCCTTGCCTGCCCAGACCCTGTTTCTCACACGGGAATAGGTGCCTCAGGCATGAAGGGGTCTTCTTAGGTCTCGGGAACCCAGGTGAATCATCACATTTCCAGTCCAGCGTCCCTTCCTTTCTCGGAACTCCTTTGACCAGAGCCTGTGCATGTCTCAGTCTAGACCGTGGTTGGCTCCCCTATGGCAAGTGCAGTGCCGGGCATGTGGGAAACAGGTCACAACTAGTTGTCAGTTGATATTAAGTACACTTGCAGACTTGGCTTTATGAGCCCTACTTTCTCTTTCATTCCAGATCCTGGGTCATTCTTCCTGCCCTTCTTCACTGATCCCATCTCCCTTGCTTGGTTCCTCTTCCTCACCTCTCCTTCCCACATCTGATAGGTAGAGGAAAGTTAGACTGTCAGAGTGGGGCACTTCTGCCCCAAGCCCAGCCACAGACTTGAATTTTATGGTGTTGCTTTAATCCTTTTGGACAGAAACGGTTATGGTTTCCAGTAGGTCTTCAAGATAGCAGTGGTCATGCCCTCATCCTGGCCAAACACCCTGGCAAGGGCAGGTGTGATGGCACCTGTGTCTCCCAATCTGATCAGTGGAGATATTAGGGTAAATGTGTCATTCCTCTTGTCATGCCCTGAGAAGAGTGGGGCAGCTGGGTCTGGCTACATGGGCACACTCTTGGCAGCCTGAGCTCCTGAGAATCAAGATGGGGTGATTGGGCATCAGGTCCCCAGGGGCCCGGTGCTTCAAGGACTCACTATCATCAGGTGGTCATCAAGCTCATATCTGACAGCCATTTTTTTAATAACAGATTCTTTTAGCATCGAATTATGAGATGATTTCAGGAAACTTTCATAAATCTGTGAGGTCTGGAAGTGCAGAGTGGAGTGTGTCTTCTGCCTGCCCCTGTAGTGGTGACGGGCCTTGGTCTAGGGGCCCGTTTTAGGGGGTTCCAGAGCCTCCACTTCTGCAATGATGAACAGTGTTTGTCCTCTTCTTGGCCGTCTTTGGGTTCACAGTAGGTTGTTAGGGGTTTTGCAACGCCTATGGCATTGGAGATGAGTTTTCTCTCTAAATGTGCATTTTTCTGGAGAAAGGACCTTGTGTAGGGTTTTTATTACCTCTTCAAAGGAGTTTATGATCCAAAAAAAAAAAAGGGTTCCAAATGCCAGCTCAGAACTTTGTCTAGGCTCTGTGGGGAGGAGTGGACAGTACAGGGTGACTCATGCTCACCCTTTTTTTCTGAGGTGTTCACCTTCAGGGGTGTTCATAGAAGAAACGCTCTTCTTCTGTCCATGATGTCTGATTAAAAGCACTGGTTCCTGTGAGTGGAGCAAATTGGCTGGGGAAGGGTGGGGAGAAGGCTGCCAAACTGGGGAATCCTGGAGAAGGAAGCCCACACTGGATGCTCCTTTTTCCTGTGTGTATTTATATTCAAATTAGTTAGAAATAAATAAAATTTAAAATTCAGTTCCTCAGGCGCACTAGCCACATTTCAAGTGCTTAGTAGCCACATGAGGCTCATGGCCACGATGTTGAATAACTGCATAGAACACTGCATCATCACAGAGAGTTCTCTTGGAAAGCGCCACCCAGAGTACTTATTTTACACTAAATACCAAAGGTGTATGTTGTGTTCATGACCATATTTCTTCATCCATCTTTGCTGTGAGAATGAATTTCCTAATGTGACCTTCTCTGTGTTCAAGTCTTTAGAAGAAGTGTGTGACCTGTTGCATGCCGCCCCTTTTCAGAATATCTTGCCCAGGGTTCACGTGAAAGGTGAGTGTGCCCTCCGTTGCCCAAGGAACCTCACCACCCACTATAATAGTGGCCCACGGTCTGTGTGGCAGTGCCAAGGACAGGAGTGGGTTTGGTTTGTGAGTTTGGTGCCTGTTTAATTGGAACCAGGAATAACTGAGGAGGATATGTAACCTAGTTCAAAAAATAGTGAATAAACAAAGTATTATTTATGGCTGAAATGATAGGATGTTTGGAATTTCCTTCAAAATAACATGGGGTGGGGCAAAGGGGGAGTGGGTGTATATTAAAAAAAATTGGCCATGAGTTGATAATATTGGGGTGGTGAGGGGTGCAAGTGGGCTCATTGTACTAGTCTCTGCTTTTTGTTTATATTTGAAAATTTCAGCAAGTTTTAAAAATAAATATTGAACAGAAAATTCTGTCAGTTTGAATTAAAATATTGAATCAGGCAGTTCTGTTAAAGAATTTTCAGAGAATCTATGTATATATGTTAACTTAAAAAGCTTTTATTTTTGAAAAGTATAACAAAATGGCTGCAGTGAATACTTACCTAATGATAATGACATGGAATGTAAATGGTTTAAATGCACCAGTAAAGAGAGAGTGGCAGAAAAGATTAAAAAAAATGACCAGTCAATGTTGTTTACAAGAGATATACCTTAGACACAAAGACATAAATAGGTTAGAAAAAGATATATACCAAGCAGCAGTACCCAAAAGAGAGCAGGAGTGGCAGTATTAATATCTGACAAAATAGACTTTAAGTCAAAATCCATTATAAAGGACAAAGAAGGACACTATATAATGATAAAAAGGTCAGTGCACCAAGACATAACAATTATTTATGCACCTAGTGCCAGAGCACTAAAATTTATAAAGCAAACTCTAACAGAATTGAAGAGAGAAATAGACAAATTTATAATAATAGTAGAAGGCTTTAATACACCACTTTTGATGATGGATAAAACAAGTAAAAATAAAATCAATAAAGACAGAAGTTCTGAATGATTCTGTTAACCAACTAGACGTCACAGATACATATAAAACACAATACCCAACAGCAGCACAATATACATTCTTCTCCAGTGCACATGAAACATTCTCCAGAATAGACCATATTTTAAGCCACAAAACAAATGTCAATGAATTTTAAAAGATTGAAATCATACAGAGCCTCTTCTCTCACCATAATACTATGAAACTAGAAATCAATAACAGAATAAAGTAAATAAATAAATGGAAATAACACATTACTAAAAAACCTACTGGGTCAAAAAATAAAAAACTACTGAGTCATAGAAGAAATCAAAAGTGAAATTTAAAAATAGTTAGAATCATATGAGAATGAAAACAAAACATACCAAAACTTTTAGGATGTGCAGAAGCCGTACTCAGAGGGAAATTTATAGCAATAAATGCATACATTAAAAAAGAGGATCCAAAATCAATAACTTAACCTGAAAATGGGAACAAATAGAAAAGGAAGAGCAAAAAAAGGCCAAAGTATCAGAAAAAAAGAAATAATAAAGATCAGAGCAGAAATAAATGAAATAGAAAACAGAAAAACAATAGAAAGAGTAAAACTAGAAGTTGGTTCTTTGAAAGGATCAATAAAATAGAAAACCACTAGCTAAGTTGACAAAGGAAAAAATGAGAAGATGCAAATAATGAAAATAAATGAAGTTGGAGACATTATAACAGAATACTACAAAAAATTGCACTCCAACAAGTTTGAAAACCTAGAATAAATTGACAAAATCTTGGAAACACGCTACCCACCTGAGCTAACACAAGTAGAGGTGGAAAATCTAAACGGATTCATAACAGAAGAAGAGATTGAAGACGTCATCAAGAATCTCCCAACAACAACAAAAAAAGCCCAGGACTAGATGGCTTCACTGGGGAATTTTACCAAATGTTCAGAGAATTGTTGATACCAATTCTACTCAAACTCTTCCAAAACATAGAAGAGAGAGGAATACCACTTAACACATTCTATGAAGCCAGCATCACCTTGATACTAAAACCAGGTAAAGACATCACAAAAACAATTTCAGCCCAATATTCCTCATGAATATATTCTTATTTTGGCATAACTCAAATTGAGAAGAAACAGCTGTAAACATCCATTAATAATTGGAACATAGAATGTACAAAGTATGGATCTAGGAAAGTTGGAAGTTGTCAAAAATGAAATGGACTGCATAAAGATCGATATCCTAGGCATTAGCTGAAATGGTTTGATATTGGCGATTTTCGGTCAGACACGCATGGTCTACTATGCCAGATTGAAGAGGAATGGCGTTGCACTCATGGTCAGAAAGAACATCTCAAGATCTATCCTAAAGTACAAGGCTGTCAGTGATAGGATAATATCCATACACCTACAAGGAAGACCAGTTAATACGACTATTATTCAAATTTACACACCAACCACTAATGCCAAAGATGAGGAAATTGAAGATTTTTACCAACTTCTGTAGTCTGAAATTGATCAAACATACAGTCAAGATGCATTGATAATCACTGGTGATTGGAATGCAACAGTTGGGAACAAAGAAGGATTGGTAATTGGGAAATATGGCCTTGAAGATAGAAACGATGCCAGAGATCACATGATAGAATTTTGCAAGACCAGTGACTTCTTCACTGCAAATACATTGTTTCAACAACATAAATGGGGACTATACATGTGGACCTCACTGGGTGGAAAACACAGGAATCAAATCTACTACATTTTTGAAAAGAGACAATAGGAAACTCAATATCACCAGTCAGAACAAGGTCAAAGGTCGATTGCAGAACACACCATCAATTGCTCATATGCAAGTTCAAGTTGAAGGTGAAGAAAATTAGAGCAAGTCCACAAGAGCCAAAATTTGACCTTGAGTGTATCCCACGTGAATTTAGAGGTTGAACACTAATGACTGAAGAATAGACGAGTTGTGGAATGACATCAGGGATGTCCATGAAGAAAACAAAAGGTCAGGACTCCGGCAAGATGGCGGTCTAGGCAGAAGCACCACGCCGTCCCTCCACAACAAAGATCCGAAAAACTAAGCCAAACAGAGAATCAACAATCCTGAA